CTGATGCATATGAAAGTGTGAAAACCACTGATCTAGACTGTGGGATGCCATTGAACCTCTCTACTTCACAAAGGAAGAGCTCGAGGGGAAGAAGACATTCAAAATGGCAAGCTGGTAGCTCAGAGAAAAATTTGGGTGAATGGTTTAACAGTCTTCCCTATTCTTGAATGCTCGCTCTTTGGCTGAGAACTGCCTGTCAAGTTGCAAATATTTCCTTTCCTCTTTCTCTCCCTGCTTCTCTCCTACAAGACACAAGATAGTTCCTGCCCAGGCATCTCAGATTACCATTTCTTCCTCAAAGCCAATTAAAGGTCTCTAATCCCTCCTGTGTTTACCTAAAGGATGAATTTGATCGGAAAGGATGAATGGAAAGGGCAAAATCCTAGAAGGGCTTGAGAAAGCAAGTTTCTGCTCCAATGGTGGGAACACACCCTTTCTCACTAAACTTATTGTGAACTGGTGCATTTTTTGAATTGCAATTCTCCATCAGCCTGCCCCTTTTATCTGAAGCCCTCAGTTGTGCTTTCAAAGGCAGCTTCTGACTTTGCTCCTGGTATTCATACTTTAGAGATTTTTTTCCCCTCCACTGACATCTCAGAGACCCCCAAAGTAATACTTTGAACCATGTGACATATCTGTTTTGTGAGTTGAAAGCAGTTGAATATTAACAGTTTCTTTGTTTTTCTTTTTCTATTTTTTGTTTTTGAAACAGAGTCTCAGTCTTGTTGCCCAGGCTAGAGTACAGTGGTGTGATCTTGGCTTACTGCAATCTCCAGCTCCCGAGTTCAAGCGATTCTCCTGCCTCAGCCTCCCGAGTAGCTGGGATTACAGGCATGCACCACCATGCCCAGTTAATTTTTGTATTTTTAGTAGAGATGGGATTTCTCCATGTTGGTTAGGCTGGTCTCAAACTCCCGACCTCAGGTGATCCGCTTGCCTCAGGTTCCCAAAGTGCTGGGATTACAGGTGTAAGCCACCGTGCCTGGCCATTAAAAAGGCCCTTAAATAGTATATATTTTTATGATATGGTAAGATAAATGTTTTCTCTGCCTTAGGTAACCATTATTATTCTCATTTCAAATGCATATCAGATTTATTTATTTATGTGTTTTGGAATCGTAGTAAGAGAAGAGAAAGCAGCCCGGTAAATGGATTCAGACTGTTCTGGCCTCATCATCAACTGCATTGTGCAATCGTAGAGAATTATCTTACCTGACTCTGAGTGTCTCCATTTTCCTGTTTTGTATGTGAGGATTATGTATATGTCTCAATCTACCTTGCTGAGGATGGAAGTGCTAGATAGAGCTAGTGTTTCCTAAAAGTGTTTTGAGCTTTTGGAATGCAGAGGTGTTTTATATATATACAAGGTATTACTTAAGTGAGGATTATCATTATTCTTTGGCAATAGCCATGACATCAGGAAAACCTATCTTCTATCATAGTTCAAAGGCAGAATGAGAAAAGAAAACATTTTTTTTTTCAGTAGAGCAGTCATCATCACAAAGATGTTTTGGAGGGTGTAACAGGAGTATTCTCCATGGCCTTTAAGAGAAAGGTTAAGAGCTCTGTCTGCTCTTGGTGCTTCCTGCAGTACACAGGGGTATAGGAGTCCTGAAGGATTGTCTTTCTGGCTCATTTTTAGATGTTAAAAAAGGCAAGTGGAACCTGACACCTTGTAAGTTGGACTGTTGACAAGAGACCCTGTGACTTTTCAAAGATGGGTGTTGATTGGAAATTTGCATGTGTTCCCAGGCATTCTTGTTTATAAAATTATCCTATTCTTGGAGGTAAACAAGGAGAAACAATTTAATGTGCTCATTGACAAAATGGATTGCTCTGTGCTTGTAAACTGTTCTGTAGCTTATTCATATACTGAGAGTTGAATAATGGAGTATGATGTCATTCATGAGCAGTGAATTGGGGAGCCTCACTTTCCTTAATGTGAAGTTGTTTGTATTTGTAGAGGGATGGGGAAAGTGATGTTTGAATGGGAGAACTGGAATCTGGGGGCTTGATTTTTTTTTCTTATTAAGTTAAAGTGCTTGTAGCTTTTGTTTATATCAAACTATACAGATGAAACCCACACACATAAAGAGAATCATATGGCAAACAAAAATATTCAGTGACTCAGGTTTCTTTGTCAATTTTTGCCACCCACCATGACAAGATCAACAGGCTTTGCTGAGTATAGATGTGTATTTTGAATTCCTTCCTCCCTTAAAAACATTCCATTGCCACTGATATCTCCACTCATGGGGCAGATATCCAGTAACCCTCTGGATATTCTTGATTCTTCCTTAAAAAGTAAAACTGTAAGTATGGCCTAGTCTTTCTCCACTCTCTTTCTGCTTTCCTGTTCGTTACTGTAATTGCATGTTTACATCTAGAGCCCTGGGTTTTCTGTGTTTCCGTAGTTATGCACAAGCATAAGCAGATTTGCAAAACAAAAAACAAAACGAACAACAACAACACCCTCAACCAATTATATGCTAGTTCTTGTCCCATTCCTTTTTCTCTTGTGGGAAAGGCAGGCAATTAAGATTACTCCTGGCTGCCTTGGAAATGATAAGTTAAGCAAATGAAAAGCCAATTAATACCCTTACTAGCTAACCCCAAGTCAAGTTAAAATTGAAGAATTTCATAGTTACATAATTTGACACCAGCACAAAAGTAATTAAAGACATTTTCTTGTATTTTTTAATTTGATAAATGCCAGTTTTTTGGTGTGAGTCTAAACAGATTGTTGCTTCCCTGGAGGTGATTTGATATAAAACAATTTTTTTGGCATTTTGTCTTGATTAGAGATATAGGAACTAAATTATGAGATATGATCACGTAGATTCTGCCCTAGAACTGCCTTTTTCTTTGCAGTTCTCCAAAATACCCTACAGCTGAAATAGCTATGTGGACAGGACAGAACACTTGAGTTAGCACAATTATTTCAGTTGTCACTGGAGCGGTTTGAGTTGAGAGTCTTTTCTTTTTTATTGTTAATAATATCTGTTTGAAGACATCAGTGTAACCCAGAATGGTGTGCCATAGCACATATTTACCAGGTTTTCTAAATGCTCCGTAGTCAGAAGAACTACTTGTGCAGTCTTGGAGATCATGGTAATTTATGGGTGGCAGCTCAGTATAAACCAGCTTTTGCTTCTCTATGCTGGTTTGAGCTCTTTTGTGTCAATTTAGCCTTCCTTTCCTTTTATCTTCTGAGGAATAATTCAAGGGTTTGTGGTTTTCTGTTGTGTTTTGAGTTAGTTTAGTAATAAACATCACCACAGAGAAGGCTGATTAACATGGAAATTAAATGTCCATTTTCTGCTAGACTGCCTTAGTTTACATCCCAGTTTTAATACTAGGGTGTTGACTGTCTGATACGGTTCAGGTATTTGTCTCCTCTGAATCTCATGTTGAACTGTGATTCCCAATGTTGGAGGCAGGACCTAGTGGGAGGTATTTGGGTCTTAGTGTTAGATCCTTCATGAACGGCTTGGTGCTCTCTTTAAAGTAATGAGTGAATTCTTCCTCTGTTAGTTCCTATGAGATCTGATTGTTAAAAAGATCTTGGCACCTTCCTCCTCTCTCTTTCCTCATCTTTTGCATGTGATGCCTGCTCTCCTTCCCCTTCTGCCATGAGTTTAAGCTTCCTGATGCCCTCATTAGAGGCAAATGCTGGTGCCATGCTTCTTGTGCAGTCTGCAGAACCTTGAGCCAGACGGACTTCTTTCCTTTATAAACTAGCCAGCCTCAGCTATTCCTTTATAGCAACACAAATGAACTAAGACAGTGTCCTTGGGCAAGCTACTTCAGTTTCTGCATTTGTTGATGGGGATGATGGAAAGAGTGTGATGTCAGCAAGATGACAGAATAGGACTTTCCAGTACTTGTCTCCATACTGAAACATCAATTTGAAGAAGTATCCATGAGCACAGATACCTTGACAAAAGCTAAGGTATCTAAATGAGCAATTACAGCACATGGGTGGAACACAGGAATAAGAAAAGCTGCATTAAGGAGAGCAGGAAGGACAGTTTGACATTACCTGTATCATTCCTCCCCCTCTGCATGGGGGAAGGAGAGTGAGGGGAGCACCTGACTTCCCTAACCTTAGCATAGGGCCTACCACAGTAAAACCTAGCTAGCCTCCTTAGATCCAGGCTCCAGGCCCACCCCAGGCTTTAGGTTGGCCCTGCAGATCCAGGCTTCAGACATGTACTAGGACCAGACTGGCTTCCTTGGCCCCAGGTTCCAGTGGACCTCAACAAAATACTAGCAAATTGAATTCAACAGCACAATAAAAAATAATCAAGTGGAATTTGTCCCTGGGATGCAAGTGGACAAATTCCACTTGATTATCTTTTTATTGTGCTGTTGAATTCAATTTGCTAGTATTTTGTTGAGGCCCACATATGGCTCTACATATGTAAATCAGTAAATGTGATTATACCACATTAACAGGATGAAAAATAAAAATTATATGATCATTTTTACGGATGCAGAAAAAGCGTTTGACAAAATACAACATCCTATCATAATAAAAACTCTCAACATATTAGGTATAAAAAGAATGCACCTAAACTTAATAAAGGCCATATATGGCTGTATACATGTAGCTCATGTCTGTAATTTCAGAACTTTGAGAGACTGAGGCAGGAGAATTGCTTAAAGCTAGGAGTTCGAGACCAGGCTGGGCAACAAAGCGAGACTGCCGTCTCCACAGAAAAAGTAAAAAAATAAAAAAATAAAAAGGCTATACAAGACAAGCCCACAGCTAACATCATATTCCATGGTGACAAACTAAAAGCTTTTACTCTAAGATCAGAAACAAGACCAAGATGCTCACTCTTGCTGCTTCTATTCCATATAGAACTGGAACTTCTCACCAGATGGATTTAATCAAGAAAAAGAAATAAAAGACATCCAAATTGGAAAGGAAAAAGAAAAATTATCTCTGTTTGCAGATGACATAATCTATTTTTTTTCCTTTTTTCTTTTTACAGGACAGGATCTCCCAGGCTGGATTGCAGTGGTGTGATCATGGCTCACTGCAGCCTCAACTCACTGGCCTAGAACAATTCTCTCACTGAGTTTCCCAAGTAGATGAACTACAGGTATGCAACACAATGCTTACCTAAGTTTTCAATCTTTTTTTTAGAGACAGGGTCTCCTTATGTTGCTCAGGAGGGTCTTGAACTCCTGGGCTTAAGTGATTCTTCTGCCTCAGCCTCCCAAAGTGCTTGGGTTACAGGTGTGAGCCCACCCAGCCGACATAATCTTATGAGTAGAAAATTCTAAATATTCCACCAAAATACTAAGAAATAAATTCGGTAAAGTTGCAGGATACAAAATCAAAATACAAAAATCAATTGTGTTTGCATACACTAACAAAATAGTATCCAAAAAAAAAAAATAAGACAACAATCACATTTACAGTAGTATTAAAAATTGGCATAAAATTAACCAAGAAGATAAAATATCTATACCCTGAAAACTAGAAAACACTGATGAAACAAACTGAAGAAGACACAAGTAAATGGAAAGATAGCTTGTGCTTATGAATTGGAAGAAATAATATTGTTAAAATATTTATACCCCAAAATAATCTACAGATTCAAAGCAATCCATACCAAAATTCCAATGGCATTTTTTTACAGAAATGGAAAATGCAATCCTAAAATTCATATAGAACCAAAAAAGATCCCAAATAGCCAAAGCAGTTTTGAACAAGAAGAACAAAGCTGGAGGCATCACAATACCTGGTTTCAAAATATACTACAAAACTATAGCAATTAGAACAGCATGGTACTGGCATAAAAATAGACATATTGACCAATGGAACAGAACAGAGATCCAGGAAATACATGAATTTACAGTCAATTGATCTTTGAGAAAGGTCCCAAGAAAGGACAGTCTCTTTAATACATGGTGTTGAGAAAACTGGATATTTACAAGTAGAAGACTGAAATTGGACCTTTATCTTACACAATATTCAAAAATCAATTTGAAATGGATTAAAGACAAATTTATGATATGAACCTCTAAAACTACTAGAAGAAAACAGGGAAACAGCACCTGATATTGGTCAGGGCAATACGTTTTTGGATATGAACCCACAGACACCAGGAACAAAAGCCATAATAGACAAACAGGATTGTATCAAGCTAACAAGCTTCTGCACAGCAAAGGAACAAGTAAGCAGAGTGAAAGAGCAGTCTGCAGAATGGGAGACAATATCTGCAAACCATATATCTGATAAGAGGTTAATATCCAAAATATATAAGGAACTCACAGTACTCAATAGCAAAAACCAAAACAACCCAAATAAAAAGTGGACAAAGACTTGAATAGACATTGATCCAAAGAAGACATACAAATGGCCAACAGGTATATGAAAAAATGTTTAACATCACCAATTATCAGAGAAACACAAGTCAAAAACCACAATAAAATATCACCTCTCACATGTTAAGATGGCTGCTATCCAAAAGAAAAAAGATAGCAAGTGTTGGCAAGGATGTGGAGAAAAGAAAACCCTTGTACACTGTTTAGGAATGTAAATTAATATAGACATTTTGGAAACCACTATGAAGGTTCTTCAAAAAAATCAACAATAAAGGTGTCATAGAATTCAGAATCCCACTTCTGGATGTGTATCCAAGAAATTGAAAATGAGATTGTGAACTGATGTTTGCATTCCCATGTTCATTGCAGCACTATTCAGAATAGCCAAGATACAGAATCAACCTAAGTGTCCATCGACAGATAAATGGACAAAGAAAATGTGATACACACAGACAATGAAATAATACTCAGCCTTTAAAAAGAAGGGAATTTTGCCGTCAACAACAACATAAGATTAAACCTAGAGGACATTATGTTAAATGAAATGTCATGCACAAAATATTATACTGCATGATCTCACTTATGTGTGGAATCTAAAAGAAGTTGAACTCATAGAAATAGAATGAATGCCAGAGGTGAGGGGATGGAAGAAATGGGGAGATGTTGGTCAAAGGGGACAAAGTTTCAGTTATGCAAGATGAATGGGTTCTGGAGACCTAAGGTACAGCTTGGTGACTATAGTTAATGTTGTTGTATCGTATACTTGAAATTTGCTAAGACAGTAGATCTTTTTTTTTTTTTCTGAGACGGAGTTTCGCTGTTGTTACCCAGACTGGAGTGCAATGGTACAATCTTGGCTCACCACAACCTCTGCCTTCTGGATTCAAGCAATTCTTCTGCCTCAGCCTCCCAAGTAGCTGGGACTACAGGCGTGCACCACCATGCCCAGCTAATTTTTGTATTTTTAGTAAAGATGGGGTTTCACCTTGTTGACCAGGATGGTCTCGGTCTCTTGACCTTGTGATCCGCCTGCCTCGGCCTCCCAAAGTGCTGGGATTATAGGCGTGAGCCACCGCGCCCGGCCAAGACAGTAGATCTTAAAAAGCTCTTCTCTCTCTCTCTCTCTCTCTCACACACACACACACACACACACACACATACACACACACACACAAAGGTAATTATGTGAGGTGATGAATATGTTAATTAGCTTGATCGTGGTGATCATCTCACAATGTATACATTGTATCAAAGTATTATGTTGTGCACTGTAAATATATATAATTTTTATTTGTCAGTTATGCCTTGATAAGTCTGAAAAAATGGAATGATAAAAATGGGGCTGTTGTGAAAGTCATTAGTTAATTGATATAAAGCTTTCGATAAACCTTAGTCAATGTTATTATCAGTTTTTCTGAAAAGCTAAACTGAAGGAAGGCATTCACATCAGCATTTTAAATCTCAAAACAGGAGAAAGAGCCTGTGAAGAAGAGTTGGGAAAGGAAAAGTGTTTGGCCAATATGGGAAGAAACCATGATGTTCCCTTTTGTTGTTTTTACTACTTGGTATCATTAGAAACCACATCAATTTTGGGAAAAAAATTTTCAGCATGAACCATTTCAAATTTCTCCATTTTCTATGTTACAGTCATAATTTCACTGTATGTTAAAATACGGAGATATACTGGGAGTAGGGAAACTTGGAAAGAATAAAAGAGGTGGTTGAAAGCAGGGAAAGAGGGCCGGTCAGGAAAGTTACAGACATTCCACTGACTTTCTCTGTAGGGAATGCTGAGTTTGGGCTACGGTTGTATTGCCAAGGACTTACTAAGGGAGAAAATGACTTTTATAGGTGGAGACATTAGGGTTAGGTGAATGGAAACCTTCCTAGTAATGACAGCTGTTAAATTATCACTCCCTTTGGTCTTGGTTTGTGTTCCCCCCAAAGCAGGTAGTTTGTTTGAAAGGTGACCCCAGAAAGCAAGGTGAGGGGTGGTAGAGGGTAAGACAGAGAAGGGAGGAAGCCAATTCAGGCTGTGCTAAGGAGCCAGCTACTGCTCTGGGTGGTGGGGCTCGCTGCAGCTGGGGGCCCTCTGGAAAATTGTGTGGAACACCTGTCAGGGAACCTTGCATATTTATCAATTTCTGTTTCTCATTGGTTAAGAATTGCCATGGAGGTGTTAAACCCCTAGTGCTTCTGAGCTGTCCTGGGCTGTCCTGTGCTGGGTTGAGCAAACATGTATGGTGCTAGAGAAATCCACAGGGCTGAGAAGCAGAGAAGGGTGTTGGTACATGAGGGGGAAGCTGCCAGCCCACGGTGAAAACTGGCTGCTGCACATGGAGGTGAACTTAGGTGGGCAGAGAGGACTGTGTCTAATACATCCAGTGACTGAAGAGAGCAAGGAGTAAATAAATGGCAGAGATTGATGTAAAGAAACTACTTGTTTCCTCAGTTTGAGAGAATAGTCTCCCTACACACCTTTTCTTCTGTCTTTTCTTTCTTTTGTAACATTATCTTGCATTCTTTTATTACCTTTTATATCACCTTATGTTTTTATAATTCTGCATCAGGCTATTAAAGGCAGAGTCTCATATATCTATGTAATTAGCTGCAGTGTCTAAAGCTTGCTAATCATAGAGAATTAATAATTACATCAAATTACAGATTTTATGCCAAGACAAAAGTCTTTAGAAGTTATTTTGTCCAACATTCTTATTTTACCTCTCTGGTTGCCTTCCCAAGGTGGCCCCATATATCTGCAGAATGTTTTTGATTTTTGTATTGGTAAGACTTTTGAAATATGAAGAAATTAAGGTTCCTTCCATCCAAGAGAGAAAAAAGTGCAGACAAAATGCTTCAACAGGCCAAGAACTGGGCTTAAAATTCAAGAACAGCAAATTCTGAGCTTGGCTGTCAGGTTTAACAATTTCTGCTCCCGATTCACATAATTTTGCTTAGTGTCTGACAGCTCACCTCAAAACACTGATTCTCCAATAAAAGCAACTTTAACCTTGACTTTTGGAATAGACCATTGAAAGCACCAAAACCTCATTCACATGAACATTTTTTCTCACTACGTTTGAGAAAATTGACTTCCTGCAATTCTCAATTCATGTGATTTTTCTCAGGAGTAGAGTTCAGCCTAGATCAAATGAGATTGCCACGAAAGCATTTTATTCAATATTAAGCCTTTGTATTATCATAAAGGTGTGATAAAAAAATAGATCAAAAACTCTATGTTTCTAAAAATTTTTCAGACTTACCTTGACTGTAACAATAGGTACCGGGAACATTGTCTTTGTCCCCTGATGTAATTTACCACTTAGAATTGTTCTTGGCACTTAATGGATGCTCAGGAAATAATTCTTGACTAAACAATTCAGTAATGAATGTCTTTTTAGTGGCTCTCAGAGAATGTGGTTCAGATAGCTATCAAGGTCTATGTTCAAATTACCATCCTACTGAACTCAGGTATTTGTGTAGGACTTGAAAGATATTAATTCTAGCCCCTTCTATGATGATGTGTATATGCCATTCCTGTGCCCCACCCTGCCACACATACAATGCTATTAAATATGCTTAGACCATCTGGCATGCTCCAATCATTTGGAATGTGCCGCTGCCACCTGGTAAGGTAGGGCTATCTGGAGTTCTCCAGGCATGCATACTGATAGGTCAACATAGCGGATATCTAACAAACGTTTATTAAACAATTATGTAAATGATAAAAGTTTCCATTTTTATTTCCAGAACTCAGAATGAGTTAAAA